TGGATGAAGAAAATATACCATGTTAACACTAATCAAAAGAAAGCAGGAGTACTATATTAATTTCTGACAGAGCAGACTTTAAAGCAGGAAAAGTTATCAGGGACAAAGAAGGACATTATATAGAGATAAATAGGTCAATTGTCCAAGAAGATGTAACAATCCTTAATGTGTATGTACCTAACAACATGAGGCAAAAACTGAAAGAACTGAAAGCAGAAATAGATGAACTCACTATCATACTTGGAGACTTCAACATCCCTCTATCAAAAATGGACAGATCCAGCAGGCAGAAAATCAGTAATGATGTAGTTGAATTCAACAACACTATCAATCAACTGGATGTAATAAACATCTGTAGACTATTTCATCCAACAACAGCAGAATACATATTTTTCTCAAGCTCACATGGAACATTCTCCAAGATAGATCACATTCTGTCATAAAATGCACCTTATCAAATAAAAAAAATTAAATCATACAATGTTTAGTCTCAGACCACAGTGGTCTCAAACTGGAAATCAATAATAGAAAGATAACTGAAAAATCCCCAAATATGTGGCAATTAAATGATACACTTCCAAATAACAAATGGATCAAAGGAGAACAAGAGAAATTAAAATATTTTGAACTAAATGAAAATGAAAATACAACTTGTCAAAACTTGTGGGATGCAGCAAAAGCAGTGCTTAAAGGGAAATTTATAGTACTGAATGCATATATTAGAAAAGGAGAAAGATATAAAATCAATAATCCAAGTTTCCATCTTAGGAAACTAGAAAAAGAAGAGCACATTAAATCCAAAATAAGCAGAAGAAAGGAAATGATAAGAATTAGAGCAGAAATCCATAACATGGAAAACAGGAAATCAGTGGAGAAAATTAACAAAACCAAAAGCTTGCTCTTTGAAGAAAACAATAAAACCAATAAGCCTCTAGTCTGGCTAACTATGAAAAAAAGAGAGAGGACATGAATTACTAATATTAGAAATGAGAGAGGAGACATCAGTACATATCCCGTAGACATTAAAAGTATAATCAAGGGATACTAAGAACAACTCATTGCCCACAAATTTGATAACTTAAATGATATGGGCCAATTCACTGAAAGACACAAACTGGCCAAAACTCACACAAGAAGAAACATGATCAGTATGGGCCTATATTTAGTAAAGAAATTGGATCAATAATTAATAATTTTCCAAAACAGCACCAGGCCCAGATGAGTTCACCAGTAATTCGACCAAACATTTAAGGAAGAAATTATACCAATTCTCTATAATATCTTTCAGAAGAGAGAAACAGAGGGAATGCTTTCTAACTTATTCTATGAGATCAACATTACCCTACTACTAAAACCAGTCAAAGACAATGCAATAGAAGAAAACAACAGACCAATATCTCTCTTGAACATAGATGCAAAAATCCTCAACAAATTTTTAGCCAATGAAATCCAACAACGTGTAAAAAGAATCATACACCATCAACATACAAAAATCAATTAATGTAATCCATCATTAAACCTGACTACATATTTGATTGTTATTAAACACCAAGTAATTTTTTAGGTATGGTAGTAGCATGATCATGTTTTACAGATAATACTTTTTTGGAAACTTATACTGAAGTGTTTATGTCTTAAAAATTGTGCTCTCTGAAGTCAAAGACAGTGGTTCACATCTCATAGCAAATGAGGAGAGAGAAGAAGGAGATAGAGCATGGTTCTTCCCTTTCAGGATTAACCCAGTGTGGCACACATCACTTCCAATCACATCCCTTTGGCTAGCCTGTGTTCCTGGCCACGACTAGCTGAGGGAGGCTGGGAATCTGGCCATTTGCCCAGTTAAAACACAGGGGTTCTATTACCAAAGGAAAAAAGAGATTGAACTTGGTGGAGCAATAGACACTTGTGCTGTAGTGTACTACTAAATGAATATAATTTGTACTATTTTAAAACATACGAAATAGTATTACTGCCAGCAGCCAAAAAGTTAAATAAAACATATAAAAAATAGAAAAAATTTAAAGAAGGCTATAAATAATAAATATAATTAGAGGTTCTAATGTCTTTGCATGTAATTGATCATCTTATGTATCTCCTGGGGTGCATGTACCTCATTTGGTATAAACAAGAGAATATGGTGTCTTGGATTAGGGTGCTGGCACTAGAGATTGGAAGAAGTAGTTCAGTTCGGGATACATTTTGAAAATAGAGCCAAGAGGTTTTCCTAATGGTTTGTGTTAGGGAAAGGGGTGCCTACTAAGAAATACTCAAATGATTCCTAGATTTCTGGCCCAAGCAATGAGATGAATCATGTTACCATTTACTGAGACTGGAAAGACTTAGGAACAGCACGTGTGTGGAGGAAATAAAAACATTGGCTTGGGATGTGTTACATTTGAAATCCTATTAGATTTCAGATGGAGGCATCAAGTATTTAGATTTACAAGTCTAGGTTTAGTGAATAGTCATGGCTGAAGATAGAAATTTGGGCATAATCAGGGTATAGTAGGCATTTAAATCCATGTGGCTCTATGATGTCACTTAGAGAAAGCAGATGTCAGAGAGAGGTATACTGGGATTGAGTCTTGGGGACTTCAGCATTCAGTGGCTAAGAGGAAGAAGATCCAGCAAAGGAGACTGAAAAGGGTCTCTGGGGAGACGGGAAGAAAACCCTCAGGAGCAAGTGAAGAGGGAGTGATCAGTGGTCAATGTAATGGACAGGTCAGGAAGGAAGAACAAGGGCTGGCCAGGTAGCTCACTTGTTTTAGAGTGTGTTGTAGTGCCAGAGTCAAGGGTTTGGATCCCTGGTACTGGATAGCTGCCAAAAAAAAAAAAAAAAAAAAGGAAGAACAGAGAATTAAGAACCGGTATTATTGTTGTTGTAATCTCTCTAGATATCTGCTGTCTCAAAGTGACGACAGCATCTGGTATCATGCCAGAAGGAAGAAGTGTTTGGAGGGGACTGTATCAATTAGAATTAGATTCAGATGCATAAAATTGAAGGGGAAAAATGTAGCAGGACTTAGAAATGTAGATTATTTCTTTCATATTAAAAAAAAAAAAAAGAAATTGGAGCCAAGCATCCCTGGTCATATGGCTGCTTTATGAAGTTGTCAGAAACCCAGGTGCAGTCCAAATCCTGCTGCCTTCCAGGCTATGGCTACTTGAGATTGGCCAGTGCATCACATTTCAGGCAGCAGGATACAGAAAGGGGAGGGTAGCTTGCCCTATCCTTTTTAGGGAGCCTTTTGAGAAATACCATACAACCCTTCTTGTATTTCATTGCCAAAAACAGTCACATGTCAAACCTAGCTGCAAGAAAGTCTGAGAAATTAATCTTTTAGTTGGGTAGCAGTGTGCCTAATGGCATATCTGAATTCTGTTACTAAAGAGGGGAGAATGGACGTTGGAGGGCAGCTAGTAGCTTCTGGCCAGGGTTCTCTCAAATCAAACCAGTAGGTGACTGCCTGCTGTTTCCACTTGTGTTCCTAGTAAGAGGAAAGGGTAGGTGTTCGTATTCTTATTCTCATTTATTCATTCATTTTCTCTATCTCCTCTCCCCTCCCCTCTCCTCCCATATCCATGTCCTACTTGCTGTTAGTGACCCCGCCTTCTTTCAGCAGTGCATTGTGAACATTTTTCTATATTCTTAAGTATACTGCTTCAGGATTTTCAATAGCTGGGTAAAGTTTACCTCGTGAACAAATTATAGTTTTCTGTTGAGGACACTTAGGTTGTTTTAGCTTTTTGGCACTGTAAGTTAGACTGCAGAAAGTCTCTTTGTGCCTTTTGGGTGGCCAGAGGAAAGGCATGTCACTGATAGTTTTCAAAGGATAACATCTTAGAAATGGAATTGCAGAGTCAAAGGACATTAATAGAGATACCAATGGCATTTACTCAGTGGGTTAATGACAATAGATAACTGTTCTTAAGTGAATTAACTCAATTAATGCTCACAACTACTCTGTCGTATAGGTATATTTATTAATCACAGTTACCCTGTAAGGAAACTGAGGCCCTGAGAGGTCGTTAAGGCACTTGTTCGACATTGTAATGATTCAGTGACACGGCAGGCACATCAGTTAGCACAGTGCCTAGCTGCTTCATGATGAGTATTTCTAAGGCTTGTTATGTACAGCTGCTAAATTGCCCTACCAATCATATGATGACAAATTATGCTTCCACTGGCAGTGTGGGACAGTTAGAAACAAACCTTCCAATGGAATATTTGCTTTTAGTAAATAACACAGGTCCTGATATGTATTAACCTTGTGCATATAAGTTCATTTAGAAATACAGTTGATTTTTCTTATTCACAGATTCTTGTTATTCTAATTATGTTCTATAGACCTCGTGAATCCTGAATTAGCAAGTACTAAACTATTGTTTCTAGGAAAATACAGGGTTAGGTTCCTGTGAGCCTCTGGTCAAACATTTTCATTAATGATCAGCCCATAACCTTGTTTTATGTGTGTTTCTGTTTAAAGACACCTTAATATATGTTGTTGTCTTATCAACATAGAACAATTAACATTAACACAGCCAACAGCACTATAACTCATGCCTCAATGAAGCTTATCTAACACGTATTTTCTCTCTAAGGCACATCATGCCTTCTTGCCCTTAAGACCACTAGCCAGCACTGCAGCACTATGCTTGGGGGCCATTTTAAACAGTGAAATTATCAACAAAAAGCATAAACATGCACAACTCATGGCAGTAAATAGACTGCAGTTAGATTTGTTTACAGTGTAAGAGCTGAAGCAAGAAGGTAGAACTTTGCCCTGGTCCACCTCTTCTGGGAACGTGCATGTTGCGGACTCAACTTTCTCACCATGGTGCCCATTTATGTCTGAGAATGACTAGTATGGGTATTGATTTGGGGATTACAAATAGATTTATGTAGGCAAATTGGAAGTAGGAATCTGCAAATAAGGAGGATCAACTGTATCTTTATTTTGATCAGTTCAGCTAATTGGATTTCTTTTCCTTTTTTACAGGTCATTTAAGGCACAGGTTTGTGCTTATAGCAGTATTTGTAGCAGCAATTGTGGTATGTGTTGTGGTGGTGTGGATACCGGGTATGTATGCTTTTTAAAAAGAATAGTTTTTAAACGTGCATTGGTTTTTCAAAGGCCAGAAAGTAGTTTGAAGATGAAAACAAAGTTTGAAATTTTAGACATTTGAAAATTTGAAAAGATAAAAACAGTTTTGTTTTACTTGTTGTCTGGGTTTGCTGAGTGTCCTAGGTTCCTCCAAAGATTCTGAATTATCATTAGGTGGAATGAATCCTTGGGCCGCAGACAGCTTTACAGGCCTGGGCACATAGCCTCGTCCTCTGGGACCTGTGGCACAGCCTCCTTGTGTCTGTGGTTTGCTTCGGTGTATGTTATACTTCTGGTCTCCAAGCAGAATTTTGCTAAGGACTCCTCTCTCTTGGTTGCCATCTTCATAATTTCATAATTTCCATGTCTTATAGCCTAGGTAGGAAAGGAATTTTTGTTGAGTTGGGTGACTTGAAGTGGGTGTAATTATGTTAGTATCACTTTCTGAGCTTTTCTCAGTCCCACAGAGATCTTGGGCCAGCAATACACCTTGGATAACTGGTGACCTGTTCCCAGCCTGTTCTTTCCTAGTGTCGAGGAAAGCCTCTCAAGTCCCAAAAGACGTTGTCCAGGCTATAAATGTAAAGGGTAGATGATCTTGATGCCTGAATAATTTCCAGATCAGCCTTCACCAAAAGGAAATTTGCTAGGCTAATCTGTTACTCCCACAGGGAACGCTGAAGAGTAAACTTTCTACAAGGTGATGGTATCTAGGATCCTTGTCATTTCACACTTGTGTCTTGAATCAAGTTTGCAAATTAGATTTCAGTTTCCCTAGACCTGCACTGTTCAACACAGTAGCCACTAGCCACATGTGATTTAAATATAAAATTTAATGAACTAAAATTAAATTTAAAATTCATTCCTTAGTTTGCTAGCCACATTTCAAGTGCTTAGTAGCTGCATCTGGCTAGTGGCTACTGTATTGGATAGCCCAGGTACAGAACAATTCCATCATTGCAGAAAGTTCTCTTGGTCAGTGCTGACACAGACTATTTGGGGTTACTGGTGCTAGAATATAATTTCCTAAGGATACTGTTTCCATGTTATAGGTTGCAAATAACATGAAGATCCCTAAGTAACAGATTTTAAGTTAGTTGACTGTCCTCTAAACAATGTTATAAAAATCAGCTGAAGGTCTGGCCAGTTAGCTCACTTGTTTAGAGCGTGGTGTTCACCAGCATCAAAGGTTTGGATCCATGTCCTAGCCAGCACCAAACAACAACAAAAAAATCGAAAACCAGCTGAATCAGTTTTCAAGTATTACTCAGTGAATAAAATGTTTGGGAGTTCAAATCTTTTTTTTTAAAAGGTATGTTTAATCCCCAAATAGTGGTATTATATAGTTAATCATCTCCTTAATAAGTTGGTCCCCAGAAACCAAAATCATTTTCCCCTCAGTGTTGTGGGTCTGTCACCAGGATACCTGAATGGAAGGGAGGTAGCATTGAGTGCCCACAGATCTTCAAAATAATGGGTTGATTTAACTTTAAAAAAAAAAGAGTGTATTCAATGTAGAGAAAATTATTCCAGTGGTCAGTACTGCTGGCCCTGGATAGCCTGAAAAAAAAATTATTCTAAAAAACTAATTACTTCAGCAAGCATCTCAACCTTAAAGCCATTAACTGGGAAATGGTGAGCCTTCAGAAGGGGAGAGAGTTGACCATAGACGACTATAGCTGGCTAGTTGTAGTTGACAGGCAACTTTATAAGCTCTACTCTGCCCTATTGATGAGGCTTCTGGACCACTCGCATAGTTCTGGGTGAGGGCTGATGCCTTTTGCATGCACGTGTGGGAGCAGCATCCTAACATCCACAGCGGTAGCCGCAGACTACATGTGGCCGGGGCCACTTGAAACGGGAGTCCATGTGATGAAGTGCTATCTGTGAGTCTCAAGTGCACACTAGATTTCTAAGACTTAGTATGAAAAGAAAAACATAAAATATCTCCTTAATAATTTTTATTCTGATTACATGTTGAAATGATAATATTTTTGCTACATTGGGTTAAATAAAATATATTATTAAAATTAATTTTACCTCTTTTCACTTTGTAATGTGATTACTAAAATTTTAAGCTACTGGACTGGCCAGTTAGCTTAGTTGGTTAGAGCATGGTGTTGTAACACCAAGATCAAGGGTTCAGATCCCCATACTAGCCAGCCACACACACACAAAAAAAATTAATTATTAAAAAAAATTACTTACGTGACTCACATTATGTTTCTCTTGGGCAGCACTAGTCCCAACAGTTCTAGCCTTCCCTTCATTTTTAGCCTTATGCACAAGGTGCTGTTATATTAACGGTTTTCTCAACAGTTTTTGTTTTGGTTTTTCTATCATGTTTTGACCAGTTTCTGAACAACTCTTTGGACCACCTCTGTAGACAATTTGATTTAAGCGTTTGGGATAGTAAGAAATCCCAGCTTGACAGGTCTCTGGTTTAGACTTTTCCAAATTCAGTTCTCTGATAGGCAATTGGTAATTCCAGATTTCAGCTTCTCTTTTCAATTCTTTTAATGAGGTGAACATTTCTTCATTTTTAGGTATTCGGAGAGCCTGCACACAATCACACAGAACCAAGTAAGTACCGTGTGGACTGTGTAGTGGGTAAATTGTGTATCGTGGCCCAGAACAAGAATTGCCTGATGTAGAGTGCCTATTACTTGGGGAGCCAGATTCTGTTGGTTGACTTGTGCGGTAATAAGCAGTAACATCAGTGGGTATTCTAAGCGTAGTATATTAAGTACCAACTGTGTGCTGTGCACTGTGCTAGCTACTTGCCAGATATCATTTCCTTGAACCCTCTCAGTGAGCCTTGCATCAGCATATCCTTACCCCTTGCTTAGAGACAGTACATGTGAGGCTCAGAGAAGTCAAGGTCACATTGCTAGTAAGTGGTGGAGCTGGGACTCAAGTCTAGGTCTTTGAACTCCGAGAGTATTGTTAGCCACAATATATTCCCTCCATCTCCCATATTAGGAAAAGTTCAACCAAGGATTGGGTTACTTCAGGAGCCAGGGTCAGAGCTGGGCCTGTAGTCGCAAACAAAAGGTAGAACACAAACATGATTAGCAGCAGCAAGATCAGTTAAGTAAGTTGCCATAAGGACGCCCCAGAAGGCTCCCTCCTCGCAGATCCCCCTGGTTGTCAGGAGGCAGGGGTACATGAGCTGGGCTTTTAGGGACAAGGAGGAGAGTAGCGACCTAGGCTGTAAAGGGCAGGATAGGGAGTAGCACGTTGTCCTCTCTGGAGCAGTGAGCATTGAGGGGTTGGAGAGGATGGGGCTGGGCTCCAGACTGAGACAGGCTGAGACACTGAGAGAGGGTTGCTAGGGGGGTTGGGTCATTTTGGGGGGAGAACCATTGAGAGTGTTATTTTAGCAGAGCTATGCTTTAGTAAGACCACTGCTGGCAAAGCACAGGATGAATTAATAGACAAGAGACTGGAGATGGGGACACTGATCAGTGGATTAAAGAAGTAATCCAGCCAAGCATAGCAGGGAGCCTCAGTCAGGGTGGCAGTGGCAGAAATGCATGTGTAGGGTCAGGTTTGAGAACAACCGCAGAGGTCCTGCTTAAAACTTTCAGCTGAGAGTGCAGGCTCCGGTGCCGAACTCCCTGGGTTCAAATGCCAGCTCCATCTCCCACAGGCCTCAGACAAGTCACTTAAACTCTCTGTGCCTCAGATGTCTGCTGTGCAAAATGGGCATAACAATAGTATAAAAATAACAATGATAACATGGAAAATAATAGCATAGAAATAGTGATATGCAGAAATATGTCAATGTAAGTAAAATGCTTAGAATAGTGACTGGCTCATAATACTGTTTAATACTTGTTAACTGTTACGAATATTGTTGTTATTCAAAAAAGAAGCCAAAGGGCCGGCCCGGTGGCGCACTGGATAGTGCGCCGCTTGGGAAGCGCGGCGGCGCTCCCACCCGAGGGTTCGGATCCCACATACAGACCGGTTCCCGCTCACTGGCTGAGCGGGGCGCGGGAGCGACGCCGAGGGTTGCGATCCCATTGCCGGTCCCTGGTCCGGTACGGGGGCGACACTGAGGGTTGCGATCCGTTGCCGGACACAGAAAAAGACAAAAGACAAAAAAAAAAAAAAAAAAAAAAAAGAAGCCAAAGCAACAGGAATTTTGACCCTTTGTACCCAGAAGAGGGTGGCACTACCAAGTGTAGCAGAGAAGTCAGACAGGGAACGTACTTGGGAAGCAAAATGATGAATTTGTGCTTTGACAGGTTGTTTGGGATGCTGCGTATTACTTGGGTAGTGATGTCCAAGCACAGAACTGGAGATGCAGGTTTCAGGGCTGGGGCTATAGTTACAGATTGGGGAGCATCTTCATCAGGACAGTAATTGATCCCCTGAGCTCCTGGGGTCACCAAGAAAGAAAAGCCAGAAGTCCTCGGGTGGTGGGAAGAGGCAGAGGAGGCAGGACTAGAGAAGTAAAGTCTAGGAAGAGAGCCAGGGTAGCACTGTGGTCGAGCTCCCGTGGGCAGAGGCTTCATGTAAGAGCTGCAGAGACAAAGAAGGTGGGCAAGTGGTTAAGACCTTTGGCTTTATTGAGTGAGCTGCTGTGGTTGGTGTGGAGATGAAGAAAGAATCGCTGAGCAGCAGCCAGGGCCTAGGTGAAGTGGAACCAATCGATGGGCTGTGGGGTTTCCTTCTCCTCAGCTGCCAGGTGGAACAAAGCTCAGGTTGCCCAGGGAAATCAGCTGTGGCAGAAAGCCTGGCAGCAAGGGATTCCAAGGGACAGCTCAGCTAGCCATGGGCCATGAGGGCTTGGTGGATGAGGCCTTGTGAAGTGGGGGCGGAGAGGAGCCGAGCAGCTTGAGATGTGTTGAGGTGAGGAGCAGGTGAGCCGGCAGTGGGGTGGGAGAGGTCTAAGACTAGGGGTTTGTGGTCAGAGGTGGGGCATTTCAGATTTGAAGCAGTACGTGTGAGTGCCAGGTGAGGGCGAGATCCAAGGTGGGCCTCTGCTGAAAGCCAGGTGGTTACAGTGCAGGGGAGGACTGACTGGAGGAGGTGGAGGTATGGCTATTGACAGCAATGACAGGGGAGGGCTGTCATCCAGGGCCAGTGAGAAAGGGGATGGGGTATTCCAGAACTCACCTTTACTTGTTCCTTTATTCATTCAACAAACATTATGGAGGTTACTTGATGCCAGAGACTATGATGGCTGATGGCATGGGGGCAGCATACCCAGGGAGGCTTGACACCATGTAGGATTCAAAGAAAGCATATAATAGGGCTCCTACCTTCAAGAAGCTTATGGTCACACTGGAGAGAGTGGACGAGTGCATAAGAAACTGTGAGAAGGACTTGAGCAAGAAGCATAGCATGTGGTGATGGGCCAGAGTGTGTGACATGGATGGTGAGGAGGGCTCAGCAACCAGCAAGGGCCAGAATAATCATGAAGACTTTGGAGGGATAGATGTGAGCTACATTTTCAAAACAAGAGCAGAGTGGAAAAGGCATTCCAGGTGGGATAAACAGCGGAGGCAAAGACATGGCTGGGAATTAAATCATTTGTGATTTATTTGATAATGAGATCAGCCTGCCTGGCATTGAGTTGAAGTGATGGCAAAAAAGACTTAATATTTGCAAGGAGAACCTTGGAAATCAGAGACATGAAAATGGAGTGATATAGAAATAGGGAGCCATTGTACGTTCTTGAGCAGGAGAGTTTGGCATGAAAAGCACTGTTTGGGGATGAGTCTAAGAAGGTAAAACTGACACCCCCAATGACATCCTGGGGAGAAACCTAGGTAGTTGGGGCTGGGATTGGGAGAGGAGCTTACTTTTCTCTGTATATTTTTCTTTGCTATTCAGATTTTGGTCCTATGTGTGTTTACTACCTATTTAATAATAATTTTTAAATTTAAAGAACTCATTGTAGCTGCAAGGGGAATTCTCTAAACTCAGATATTAAAGGGTTACATATATGATGGAGGCACAGGGGTCATGGGAAGAGACAGGGTAGAGGCAAGCATAACCAGGTATAAATGCAAAGTTGTCACAGCTCCATGAGGACAGTGTCAGGGAGATAAATCCAATTAGAAATATTAGAGGACAGACAAATAGCGAACATCTGAGAGAAAATGGACATATTACACTTCTCACCTAGACAGTTCCATTCAGACAATTTCTGAGAGTCCTGGTATTTTTTGTTAAATGCCTAGAAAACAAATCACAAAGTCAGCCAAGTTAAAAAGGGAGCAGGGTGTCTTATTTCTCTGAGAAAAAAGATGTACAGGTGGGATTTCAGCCTGGAGCTGAGTTGCAGATGCAGGTGTGGTTCCTTGGCAGTGGATGAGGAGCCCCTGGGAGAGGGAGCAAAGCCCTGCAATGTGCCCCTCCAAGTAGGAGTCCTGTGTGTACCTGAGCTAGCTTGAGAAGCCTCGCCCACTCTACACCCCGTCAGAAATTCATAGCACCCATCTTCATGTTCTGTGAGGTTTTAAATAAGGAAAACTTCCAATATGCTTTTCTTTACCTCACCCTGTGACCACAGCACTAATTTTTCATGAATTTTTGTTACCAATGGGATACAAATGGTTGGGGAACTCTGGCTTGGTCTGATCTGTTGTCTCCATGGAAACGCACAGACCCAGGGAAGGCAAAAGCCAAGGAACAGACTCTTGGTTCTAAGGGGCTTCCTCAAGCAGGGAGGCAGCTTGGTTTTTTGGCTGATTTCCTCTAGTTCTGTCATCACCACAGAGATGACGAAACAGGAGAAGAAGTTTGAGGTGGGAAGAAAACCATCCCCAGGAGTTCTGTGTGGTGAAGAAGGAAATCACTGTTAGAAACAAGTGACAGTTTACATCTGGGTCTTACAGTGTCAGCTCTGTTACTTGGTAATTTCAGTTAAACTCAAAGACTGAGTTGGTTTGAGGAGACTTGGGACTGTTAATTTGTGCTGCATACTGAAGGTAAAATTCAAGCTACCATCCCACATGGCTCCAGGCTGTTCTCCCTCCATCTCTGCTCCCTAGCTCCCTTGGCTTTGACGAGTTTATGACGAAAGAGCTGCTCACATTAAGGTAGGAGGGTAATTAAGACTCCTGGTCTGCAGCACAGATTCACTGCGTTGTACAAGTTACTAATATGAAAGCTACAAGTTACTAATATGAAAAAATTTTTTTGCAGCTCCAGTTGATTGGTAACCGAAGATGAAAGCAGAGGCATAGTAACTAAATTATCTAAATATCTTTTAAAAGCCAACTGTTTCTCATTTGAGTATTACACCTTTTGAGGGAACTTCAGAAATCTAACCTGAATTGGTCCTTCATCAGCAGCTACTTTCTTTATTTAGAAGAAATATCAACTAACAAAGAATAAGCATTTGTTTCTACTGTCACCAGCACATTATATGACAAGATACTTAATTTCTTGTCACTAAATTGTTTTTATTGGACAAAAAGAAACTTATGTAAATAAGCGTAACTATGTACATAAAGCCTAGTTGATTTGGCTATTTTTTTCCTGTTAGAAAAATAAAAGTAACATACCTTTTTAGAATCTATACTCCATTTCTCTTTTGCTTTAGAGGAAAAATGATTCATTGCAGGAAGAGTCGTGGATTGAAGGAGAAGATGGACAAAGTACTTTTCTTGCTGGGTCTATGCTGTAGACGGGAGGCAGGTGAACACCTGGTTCTTGAGCAAATCACCCACATCCAATGCAGTTGTGTAACAGGTGGGACAGGGAGACTTCTCTCACCATCTCGTAACGCACTTAGTTTATTGTCTTGTTTGGCTGTCACATTGGGACACACTGGTAACAGCAGAGAACAGTTGAAAAAAATCAAAGTCATTTACAAATGCAGAACGGCAGCCACTGCAGGGAGGAGGTGGATAGCCTGCACTTAGTTTATTGTCTTGTTTGGCTGTCACATTGGGACACACTGGTAACAGCAGAGAACACTTGAAAAAAATCAAAGTCATTTACAAATGCAGAACAGCAGCCACTGCAGGGAGGAGGTGGATAGCCCCAGCTACCCCCAGGCAGCTGTCCTATGAACCCGAGCCCCCAGAGTCAACATGCAAACGCCTTGGTTCCTAACCCGCACTGCTCCTGGAGTTCCTGTCACGTGAGAGTCTTCAGCCTGAAAGAATAGGTATGTGTCTTTGCTCCAAGGCAGGCATGTGAAGAAGGGGCTCTCTTACACAGGCCCCACCCGGACTCCCCACAGCCATCAGCAAGAGTGAGAAAGGGGCCCTGGAGCTCTGTGTACCCTGGGAAGACCCCACATCTCCTCAGTTCCCCCACCCAGGTAGCATAGCTTCCTATCCAAGTCTGTCTCACACTAGCCTTGTCAAACCCTTTATTCAAGGCCCTATAGGAAGCCCAGGACTCCGGTGGAGATTCGTGACCCCACGTAGTTCTGTAGGTCACCCTTTCTGCCCCCATCCATTAACAGCAGCATTCCCAATATCCTCTTTTGTGAATGCGTCCTTCACTTTTCTTTCTAATTGAAAGCTGACTGTCCCCAAGGATGCTGCCTCCCACAGCCCTCAAGGGTTACCTGTTTTCTTTCCTGTACCCTTTGTATATGGGGCCTAGCGGAGGGAGGATGTCCTCTTTGCTCCTATCTGCTTCCAGGCCCTTGCTCCTTCCTCAGCTACAATGCTCACGCCGGCGGATCATCACCACCTGACATCCCTTTTTCTAGTTATTTTGTTATTTTTCATCCCCCGAAGATTTTAGCACTATGTCAAAATCACTCTCGGTACCACTACTTCTATCAGAATGTTAATTCTTTCAAAATCTACAAATCTAATACCCTGGCATGATCTCCTTTAAGGATCCTCCTCCTTTCTCAGCTAACCAGCCCATGTTTGGATCCCCTGACCTTCTGTGATATTGTACATATATATTTGGTCTCATCCGCATCTCCTAGCACACAACTCCTAAAATCCTTAGAATCTCCAAAGTGGTAAGTCTTTTCTCGTACTAATGAGTTGGCTGATGGCTGGCAGCCCTTAGGTAGCTTCAGGATGGGGGCTGTCACAGGAAAGACCAAGGTGGGACTTTTAGTCTTACCCCCAACCTCTGGGGAGGGGAGAGGGACTGGAAGTTAAGTTGATTGCCAATGGCCAGTGATTTAGTCAGTCATGCCTATGTAATAAAGCCTCCCTAAAAACCCATGAGGCCTGGATTCAGAGAGCTTCCACGTGGCGGTTCCTGGAGCGTGGCACACCCCTTCCCCCATACCTCACCCTGTGCATCTCTTCACCTGTGTCTTTTGTAATGTCTTTTAAAATAAGCCAGTAAACGTAAGTATGTGTTTCCCTGAGTTCTGTGAGCCACTTAGCAAATTAATCAAACCCAAGGAAGGGGTTGTGGGAATCCCATTTGTAGCCAGTTGGTCAGAAGCTCAGGTAAGACAACCTGTAGCTTGCGATTGCCATCAGAAGTGGGGTGGGGGCAGTCTTGGGGACTGAGCCCTCAACCTGTGGGATCTGATGCTATCTCCAGGTAGATAGTTTGAGAATTGGATTGGAGGGCACCCAGCTGGTGTCCACTGCGGAACAGGTTGCTCTCTTGCTGGTAGAGAAATCCCCACACATTTGGTCACGGAAGCTGGTCTTCTGTGTTAATAATTATGCTGTGAGAGCAGAGGAGAAACAGTTTGTGTTTTTCCAAACACCTTCCTGTTGTACCAGTACCTGTAGCAGCCCCGCCCCCCTAGTCTCAGCTACAAGCACCCCCTTCTCCAGCCCCCACTACTTCCTGTCTTCCACATCACTCCCCTGAGGGCTCCAACTTAAAAACTTCTTCAACCCCTCCAGAACCTACATGCCAGCGACCCTGCCACCTGTTCCCTGGCCCTGAACCCCTTTGGCTGGGATTCCCATTGTTCATCATTAAAATTACACCTTTATGTTCACTTTTTTCTTCTCTCACGTCATCATTCTCATTTGGCATATCATTTGGCAAATCCCAACCATGGTTATAGTTATCTCTACCAGTTCCCTCCTTACACCAACCTGTGGAACATGCCTGGAGAAAAATCCACCACCAGGCTGATTACTTTCACTTTAATAACCTCAAACCTCAAAAACATTTGTAGTGTTTCTCCAGTTATAGTTATCTCTACCAGTTCCCTCCTTACACCAACCTGTGGAACATGCCTGGAGAAAAACCCACCACCAGGCTGATTACTTTCACTTTAATAACCTCAAACCTCAAAAACATTTGTAGTGTTTCTCCGATGTCCTCATTGCACTCTCTGTCGTTGTCTCTTCACCTGCTGTCTTCTTAGACCACCAACCCTGTGTCCTCACTCTCACCTGGTCACCTTGCTTCCCATCTCTCCGAAAAAAAATAGCATTCAGAAGAGACATTTCCCCCACCTCAGCACACCCACACACCCAGCTGTGCCAGTGCTCACATACTTTGCCTCCCCTTCTGTTGACTGTGGATAAACTCTCCTTGCCCCTCCTGAAGCCAGTCCTTTCACTTGTATTAGTCTGCTCAGGTTGCCATAATAAAATGCCACAGACTGGCTGGCTTAAACAGACATTTATTTCTTACAGTTCTGGAGGCTAGGAAGTCTAAGATCAAGGTGCAGCCAATTTGGTTCCTGGTGAGGGCTCTCTTCCTAGCTTGCAGACAGCCACCATCTTACTGTGTCCCCATATAGCAGAGAGAGAGCATTCTGGTGTCTCTTCCTCTTCTACTGAGGGCACTAGCCCAGTGGGATTAGGGCCCCACCCCTGTGACCTCATTTAACATTTATCATCCCCTCACAGGTCCTATCTCCAAATATAGTCATATGGAGGAATAGGGCTCCCACATATGAATTTTGGGGGACCCAGACATTTAGACTATACCACCACTTATGCACAGGACCCCACCTCCTGTCACCTACTTGAGGACATCACTCCTATCATTGTCCACCTCTCTCCTGCATTGTCAGCTTTTACCTTTCTATCAGCTTTTACCTTTTTATCATACAAACATACTGTCATTTCTCTCATCTCTAAAAGAACAAAAAACCCTTGATTCCACTTCTTTATTAGCTCCAGGCCCATTTCTATGATGTCCTTTATGGAAAAAAGCCTCCAAAGATGAACTGTGCTTGCTTTTTTCTGATTCCTTTTCTCTCCTTTCTTGGACCTTCTTTAATCAGACTTTAGCCCCCAGTACTTGTCAAGGTCAACAGTGACCCCCCTCCCCGTAAGATTCAATGGTCAGTTCTCAGGCCTCATCTTAAGCTGTGTGTACGCAGCATTTGACACACTGGAGCCCACCCACGCATTTATTCAGTGCTTCATAGGTGCTGGCTTCAACAGGAGTGTGCAAGCTGAAGAAAGTTCCTAATGCAACAGGGCAAGCAGGCCTGTGAATATACTAAGTTCTGAAATGGAAGGTGTGCAAAGAGGTATGGAAATATAACCATGTGACCTAGCAATTGCACTCCTAGGTATATGTATGTGCTTACGAGAACTGAAAACATGTCCACACAAAAATTTGTACATGACTGTTTGTAGCAACATTATCCATAATAGCCGAATAGTAGAAATAACTAAAATATCCATCAACTGAAGGATGGATAAATAAAATGTGGTATATCTGTACAATGGAATATTATTCAGCTATAAAAAGTGATGAAATTCTGATACATGTTACAACATAGATGAACCTTGAAAACGTTATTATGCTAAGGGAAAGAAGCCAATCAAAAGAGACCACATATAATTTCATTTATACAAAACATCTAGCACAGACAAATCTATAAATACAGAAAGTACGTTGGTGGTTGTCTAAGGTTGGGGGAAGGATGATGGGGATGGGAAGGGGGTGACTGCTAACGAGTTTTTTTCGTGTCCGGCAATGGATCGCAACCCTCAGTGTTGTGCCCGTACCGGACCGGGACCGGCAACGGGATCACAACCCTCGGTGCTGCGCCCACACCTCGCTCAGCCAGTGAGCGGGAACCGGTCTGTATGTGGGATCCGAACCCTCGGCAGGAGCGCCGCCGCGCTTTCCAAGCGGCACACTGCAGCAGTGCGCCACCGGGCCGGCCCACAGTGTTAAGCTTTTAAAGAAAATTTGTATGCCTTCAGATGGATCTTTCTCCAGTTCACCATAAGCCCTAATCCTCCCTATTGTCTTACGCTCATTTGTTTCCTGGCTCTGTGCCCCAAGCTTTGGAGATAATTGTGTATTTCAAACATGTCCTTGGAGCAATAGAAAGTCACAGGAGAGATGGACAGAGCAAAGGACAGCCAGCCCCAACCTGTGTGAATCAAGGGCGAATATCTTTCATCCCCAATCCCTTCGTAATGGGAAATCATAGTCTACAATGCCAGGGAAGAGGGATCCCCAGAAAGGGCTTGGGTTTAAGTTTTCTACCAGCTAAGAGAAATATGAACTCAGTCAGAAATAGGTTGAGTCACCAGGCTGACCAGTTAACTCAGTTGGTTAGAGCATGGTGCTGATAACACCAAGGTCCCAGGTTCAATCCCCGTATGGGCCAGCAAAAAAAAAAAAAAAAAAAAGTTAGAAATAAGTTGA